TCTCCTTCTCCTTCTCCTTCTCCTTCTCCTTCTCCTTCTCCTTCTCCTTCTCCTCTCCTTCTCCTTCTCCTTCTCCTTCTCCTTCTCCTTCTCCTTCTCCTTCTCCTTCCTTCTCCTTCTCCTTCTCCTTCTCCTTCTCCTTCTCCTTCTCCTTCTCCTTCTCCTTCTCCTTCTCCTTCTCCTTCTCCTTCTCCTTCTCCTTCTCCTTCTCCTTCTCCTTCTCCTTCTCCTTCTCCTTCTCCTTCTCCTTCTCCTTCTCCTTCTCCTTTTCCTTTTCCTTTTCCTTCTCCTTCTCCTACTCCTCCTTCTCATCCTTCTCCTTTTTCTCCTCCCCTCCTCCTCCCTTCTCTTGCAGGTTATCAATGCATACCACAATAAATGTTACTGAACCCACGAATCAAATGATTTATTTTATTTTTATCGCCTACGTAAATGCAGTTCGTAAATGTGTAACTAAAATGGAATACTTGCTTTGGGTTCTCGATTTGCGAAATGTGCAAAACTCGCCACTGCTGACCCCATCAATGGGTGCTGCAGCTTTGGTGGAGCACTGGCAATTGGTGCATCGTTTCGGGCTTTTATTTATTCATATTTGATAGCTGCGAGTTGTAGCACTATTTTCAGTTAAGCGCCCGCCTCATTGTTGCATCCATTACAGTCGGGCAATGCACAATAATGACCTAAGCTAACTTCCTATAACGGGGAGCCCCACAATTGTGTAGCTGCCTCCGTGCCCCTTCCCCTGGCCCTCTGTCCAGCCCAGGCCACGGGGAGAGACAGCTTGGCGGAAATTTTGTTGTGGCATTTCGTACTCTGGGGCGAGCATGGGCGCGGGTGCGGACGTGGGTGTCGGCGTGGGCGTGAGCATCTCGTACTCGTGACTCCTCAACAAATATTTATATTGCGCACTCGAATATTCAGTGAGCAAATCGACGCTTGGTCAGCAATTGCATTTAAATAGTTTTTCATTTGACTGGGCAATTCGAGCTGCTCTTATGCCCGGACCCAGCTTCATTTGGACCGTGTTTATTACTAGTGTCCCTTTTTCCAGTATTGTGGACTTTTGCTCTGTCAATGGCTAATTTGCAGATAATTCTCAATTAGTTCTTGCCTCTGAGAAAGTTTTTTTTTTTGGGACTTTGTGCATGGTTCAAGGTATTTAAAAGTATTTCAATTATCGTATATAGACTAGATGGAATCTCAACCCATCCAAATACTCTTCGTATCGGTAAATTAGTCAAGTGTTCAGAAGATTCCTTAAACGAGCTGCGAATTTCTCTATCAAAGTCATTTTTCACTCATTAGACAAGTGAACATTTTTGCAATTCAATGAAAATCGCATAGAAAACTTAATGAACAAGAGAGAAAGAGTAACAGAGCAAGCGAAAAGTTTTGCCTTAGGAGAGAGAGTGGACGTATTCAAGGCTTTTATGCAAATGCGGGTAGTTTGGACTTTGGGTACAAGTTTTCTGGTTTTGAGAATTGCAGAGAAAGGCGAAAAGCTGCTGTAGAATTCAACTGAAGCTGTTGTAGAATTTCTCGTGGCTTCGCTTAATCTCAAATTACTTTTACATAATTTCTCCATGTCTCGATCTCTCTCTCTATTTTACGCTCTGCCTGCTTTTGTATTATTTCCGCTCTCTTCTTCGCTCTTCCTCTTTCTATAGCTCTCAGTATCCATCTTCCTCTATTTCTTTCATTTTCTCTTTCTTCAGGTACTCAGTCGCTCTCTTCGCCTCTTTTTGTGGTCTCCCTCTCTCTCACTTCTTTCGTCTCTTCCTATATCATCTCTGACTCATTCCATTGCATCTCTGGCTCATCTCTATCTCTATCTCTTTATTGTATATAATTTTTCATATCTTTATTTCTTTAACACTAATTTCTCTCTCCTCTCTCTCTCTGTCTGTCTATCTGCCCCGCTTGCATGCTGGGTATCTCTAAGTTGAGCAGTTTCAACAAAAACTGTTTTGCAGAACTTTTGTTTTTTTTTTTTTCTTTCACAGCATTTTGCAGCGTTTTGTTTATTCCCTTGTCCAATTAAACGCGTTTTGCTGCCCGCAAAAATAACAACAAACTTTTTTGATTAAAATTAAAAAAAGTTTTTGTTTTTTTTACTTATTTTTTGCTTCTGTGTGTGTGGGTTTTTTTGGAAGTGGACATAAGTTTCGGCGGGGCAACAAGTGGCGTTGAGCTGTCGTGTGACGTTGGCAGGCGATCAATTCGTGTGGGTATGATTACGGGGTGGGGTGGCGTGTGGTGAGGTGGTTAGTCCACAAGTGCATAAGGCGCTACGTAAGCAAAAAGTACGAAATAAATTACAATAACAATAAAATGAAGTGGCTGCCTAACGGGCAAGTGTCCTGCCTCATCGCGTCGCGTCGCGTCTCGCCCCGCCGCGTGCCAGCGCCTGCGGCTGCTGCGTCTGTTTCAATTGCAACAACGCCTCAAGTTGTTTACTGGCAAAACTTTAACCAGAAAAATTACAGCATCGCCGCAAATTATCTGCGCCAGTGTCGCAGCTTAAGCAGCAAGCAGCAGCAACAAATTGGCATAATTTCGATGTGAAACTTATTCAAAGTCAATTGTTGGCAGGCGGCGTCGCAGCAGCGGCAGCAGCAGCCAACAGCGAGCGAAGGCGCTATGCCACGCCCCAACACCAAAGCGCTTCAATTGCGCACTCACATTCAGCGACAACAACAACAACAGATACAAATGAGCATTTGAAACATTTTCATGGAAAACTTTTTCTTTATCCACGTTCGCCTGCGCGCGTTTTATGTCACTTTTTTTTTTCTTTCTATTTTTTTCGCGGTAGCGCGGAAGTCGTAATGAATAATTTTGTTTTCAACTGTACGGATAGCCCCGACAGCGGCACAAAATCTGAATCCATACAAATATAAGTCTGTATATGTATCTGGTTCGGATCGTCGGCTGCTGGGCTCAGTTTTTGGCTTGGTTTGGTTCAACTTTGCTTCGATGACAACTCGCCTCAGCGGCCAAGGCAGAGGCTGGGGTGGCGGCAGAGGCGTAGGCAGTCGCTGACAAATGCACAGGGGTCCGCAGAGAAAGCGATAGAGAGTACGTGATGGAATCAGTCGAAACAATTGTCTCTAAATAAGATTTCAATTGAGACGACTTTAAAACAATCTGAAATTCCTTAGATTAATAAAGCAGTTAATTGTGTGAGTGTGAGTGTGAGTGTGAGTGTGAGTGTGAGTGTGAGTGTGAGTGTGAGTGTGAGTGTGAGTGTGAGTGTGAGTGTGAGTGTGAGTGTGAGTGTGAGTGTGAGTGTGAGTGTGAGTGTGAGTGTGAGTGTGAGTGTGAGTGTGAGTGTGAGTGTGAGTGTGAGTGTGAGTGTGAGTGTGAGTGTGAGTGTGAGTGTGAGTGTGAGTGTGAGTGTGAGTGTGAGTGTGAGTGTGAGTGTGAGTGTGAGTGTGAGTGTGAGTGTGAGTGTGAGTGTGAGTGTGAGTGTGAGTGTGAGTGTGAGTGTGATGTGAGTGTGAGTGTGAGTGTGAGTGTGAGTGTGAGTGTGAGTGTGAGTGTGAGTGTGAGTGTGAGTGTGAGTGTTGAGTGTGAGTGTGAGTGTGAGTGTGAGTGTGAGTGTGAGTGTGAGTGTGAGTGTGAGTGTGAGTGTGAGTGTGAGTGTGAGTGTGAGTGTGAGTGTGAGTGTGAGTGTGAGTGTGAGTGTGGTGTGAGTGTGAGTGTGAGTGTGAGTGTGAGTGTGAGTGTGAGTGTGAGTGTGAGTGTGAGTGTCAGCTAATCTCATATATTTGTATTACGACATCGTGTATATATATAATACTTTATATGTGATTTAATCCACAGGCAAATTTCTGTTCCACCACTGCCACTGGCACTGGCATTTTGTCATCATAAATGAAAATATAAATAGCTGCTATAGTGAAAATCTGGTTTTTCATTTCGGGAAAAAGAAACTACAAAAACAAGAAACAAACAAGCGAAAAACAATCTTAAGACTGAAATGCGCAACGCGAAAGCAATAAAAAAGCGAAGACAAAATTTACGGGAATGCGTTTAATATATGCGACAAAAATATGCCCCATAAAACAAATGGAATTTTTAATAATTAAAATAAAATCATATTAATTTAATAATCTATGAAAGTATAATCACAATTTTAATAATTATGAACTCATTTAATAAAATAGTAATTACCATAACCGGGACAATTCTTCTGAATGCTCCAATTGGGCTTTAATACGTTGTTTTATTTAAAAAGTTTAAAAGCTCGCTTAAAATATGATACGTTTTTGGTTTATTGGCATAGTTTTGTCTACAATATAAATAATGCTCGTTTATAACTTTAATAAACTTTCAAAGCTTCATTTTAAGATCACATACATTGAAGTATTAGTAATGCCTTCAAAGCCCACTTAAAGCGCTAAGTCGATGTAAAAGCTGATTGTTTAGTTTCCGATACGCTTCATCATTTGTTCTAGCAGAAGCATAAAATAGCTTCAAAACAAAATATTATCAATTCCTATTTTAATAAAGCTTTAATATGCTTTTAACGCTGTGCCAAGCATTTAAGGCTTTGTCAACTAGTTGAGGCTTATTGCTGTGGTAAACAAAAGAATTGTATGCCTCTACGAATTCAGGCGAAAAGCTCTCTCTTAAGTCTTAATGTGCTTTTGAAGCTTTTTATCTTAAAAGTAGCGCATTTTGAGTTGTGCCTATGGCCGACAACACTTAAAGAAGAAGGCCAAGTCGAGCTGACGACTTGACCGCATAGTCAAAGCCATTTAAACCAGTTCAACTGCAGTCACGCTTTACCCTGAAGCCGGTTAGCCAGGCGGCTCTACACCCATTGATGCAACAGCAGCTGCGTTTCCGTGGCAATAAATGCGCCTGCTTCCTTTTTGGCTATCACAAACTTGTTTTGCTCATGCATCAACTTCAGCTGCATCTGGATCTGGACTAGCTGCTGCTGCTGCTGCGCTGATTTAGTTTTGTCTACCCACTCGCAGAGCAATTGCATAATGCGCTTTCCATGCGGACTCACGCATCGCACTTCCTGGCATGTGTGCATGGAGTCAATGCTCAATGTATTGGGTGAGCTAATTAGTTGCCAGGCAGACAGACAGCGGGACAGAGAGACAGAGAAACAGCGAGACAGGCAGCCAGCCAAGTGGCCGCCTTTTTTGGCCAACTCGCTTATGTATATAGTTTTATGGCCAGCTAACTGGGCAAGTGTGGCCAGCATAAAAAGCCAAACTATTCATCATGAAATACCATTTTGTGATTATGAAATGACATTAAATTTAATGACAAGCCAAACATTTGCACAATTTGATTTTTCGCAATTGCAATGCCCCCCTCTGCCTCTCCCTCTCCCTCTCCCTCCATAATTATACAATTTCAGTGAAGCTTTCATATTTCGACAAATATTTCCAACTGTCAACAGTTTTAAATACATATTTTTGGCTTCCAGTATATTCGATTTGTGATATCATAATCAGAGATATTTATATAATTTAAATTTTTGGTAATTGTGCTACTGACTCATTGGACCAAATTGGCAGCAAACAGTGTTTGGCTGTTCAAATTTATTGCTCATTCAAATTCGACAACTTTTGACATTAAAGCACAGCGACTTAGGAGACCTGTTTGATATAAACAGAGTCGCTCCAGTGCGTTCTTTAAGCTGGGCAATTACTTGCCAACTACATGGTAACTAGTACCAGGAATTGTCTTTCATCATGACCAAACTACATACACATCCTTGTTGACTCCTGCCTGACGAGTACTTTGACTGCATTCGCAGCGCTGCTCATACTCAATTTACCTGTTTCTGCTGAGATGCTAAACTGGGCCAACAAATGCTGCGCGTTGGCAATTGAAGGTACAAACCAGCAAAGGCGGCTCGAGTCGAGTCGAGTTGGGCATGTTCGACTAGCAGTTGCTCTGACTACAGGGCTTGTACTATGTTTCCAACTCTATATATTGGTTATGATTCTAATTATTATTAAACAAAAATGTCATCAAATTTTCTACCTTAATTTGCATGTTTTATTGCTATTAATAATATATTTACTTGCTTCGTTATGCCTTAAACTTGTCTAACTCTAAAAAAGACTTAACTAAAAGCGCAGAGCTTCGATAATAAATTTGCTAAAAATACAAAATCGATAATTATCGATTAAAAAAATATAATTAAATTGATTTACCTCTGCTTTAAGCTTTCATGAAGCTAGCTCATTATGATCAGGAAAATTTAATGGACTCATTGATGCTTCCTCTTTGAGCTGCTCCACAGCGCACCATAAATCCAAGCCACTCAACTTAGTGTTAATGAAAGCAGCAACTCAACAGAGAGCGAGAGAAAGAGAGAGAGATAGAGAGAATTGCTGTTGCAGCTCTTTCTAAGCCCTGTTTGTGGAGGCGCAAATTAAACTGTGTCGCTCGAGTCATAAACAGGCGCTGGTAGCTCGTCAGCAGAACGAACCGCAGCTGCTGTTAAAGGATTTTTGTTCCTTTTCTTTTTTGCATTTCAGGCAACGTTTGCACGGCTAATTATAACTGTTTTACACCGGTGCTTGGCCACTAACAGCAACAACAAGAACAGCAATAACAATTAAGGTTGATCGAGGCCAGGCACACAGCAACCATCTGATTCTTTATTCCTTATGTGGCAGCAGCTTTAAACTTGCCACTGCCACACGTAATGTGTGTGTGTGTGTGTGTGTGTGTGTGTGTGCGTGTGTGGGACTGCAAATTGGGGCTTTCATTTGATGTAACGTAGGCATTATGGACATTCATTGTTGTTTCTGTTGCTGCTGCTGCTGCTGCTGTTGCTGTCGGAGTCACTGCTAAGTTTTACTGAAAGCCACTTGAATTTATTAGGAACACTCATAAAGTCATTGCTGCTCTTGCTGTTGGCCAACGGCTGCTAAGTGGGGGCACGCTGGAGCTGGTTTTGCTGGGCAACGCTTGCCAGAGGATGGTGAATGTGCTCAGCTGTTTTTATAGTGCCAAACTCCTAATGGATGTCAAATTTGCCATGCGCTTGTGTAACAGCAGTACGATGTGCCGCAAGTGAAAGGGAACTGCTCGACTAGGAAACACCCTGCAAGCCACAAATGCCACAATCCGAAATGATGAGCCAAGCGCAGATCGAACAGGCTCTTATAATACCACTTAATTGGACTAGGTCCATAGAAATGACTGGAAATCCATATACCATGAAAGTGAAGTGTCTTTCATCTATCTACCCCACTTCGAAGCACTCTCAAGGGCATTGCAGGGTATGAAAAACGGGCAAAAATTCCCATTTAATTGATTAAAATATGTAAAATGTCGATAACTCGACTGCTGCTTTGTCCTCAAGCGTCACTTGAGCTGCTACACTTGCCTTTGTCCGTCCTCCATGGTCAATTAGTTGGAAGAGAAAGATTACAAAGCAAGTTCACCTTGGTCACTTGACGCAAATACACTTTGGTTTTGTCTTACCTGAAGTCTTATCGTCCTTCCCACATGTCCTATATGCTCAGCTGGCTTGCTTTGCTCACAGACTTTTATGTTTACTTTAGTTATGGAAGAGCATGAATTCAATCTGTACTCAATGTTGGAATATCTTGACACCTGCCAGCGCCAAGCTCACGCTGATTCTGCTTTATTCTTATGCTCTCCATGCTTACCTGTCCTTCAGTTCTTTGATCTGGCTTATTTGCTCTGCATCCTGCAACCCGCCCACCCCCCTAAAAACTGTTTAACTTTGTTTAAAGTGCATTGAAATCTCTTCTCCATGTTTACTTTAGCCATGCAAGATCTTTGCTGCAGTAACTTGACACCTGCCAGCTCCAAGTTAACTTTGACTTTGTTATGATTCCCCTGCTCTCCATGCTGACATATCCTCCACGCTCAGTAGATGTTCACCAAGTTATCCAAGCAAAAAGCTAAACAGGCGCTAATTAAAGGGGAAATGGGCGAGCCTTTGCGGATAAGGATTAATAAATAGAAGCTGAGCACGCAATAAATTCCAATGCAAATATGAAGCACAAGCTCGTAAACTAGAAGCAGACGTTAATGGCAAAAGGATAGCAAAGCCACAGAGCCAGGGGCAAAATGAGAAAAGAAAATGGGGCTGCAGCTGCAGTTGGTGGCAGGAACAGTGCCACGACACGGATGCTGCTGCTGCTGCACAAAGAATGACAGCAACATGGCCTGCAACAGACAGACAGGCTGGCAGGCGGGCAGGCGGGCAGCGCCAGGGACACGGACATGGACATGGACATGGCGGGGCGTTGTCGTGTACAAAGCAAACTAGATGCAGCTTGAGGCAGCTACAGCGTTGCCCATTGCCCGCTGACCAGGCTAAGTCTTCATAATGTTTGTTGAGCAGAATTTGCATTTTGCGGGCAGCAAAGTGAAAAACGAGAAAACTCAGAAAGCCCCGCCAGCGACAGCTAATTGGTAGCAATTGCTGTTGCACTTGATGCTCCAGGCAAGGCAACAGCAGCTCACAGCTCAGAGGCGCTGACAATGGCCAAGGCCAGCTAATTATAAGCACTCGATTATGGTCGCGATTATGCAGCAAATGAAAACAAATCCCCGAAACGAAAACGAAATGAAAACGAAATGAAAACGAAATGAAAACAAACAGCTGAATAAACGCTCTTGTTGTTCAGGTGCTTGCACCCATGTTGCAAGCTGCATGTTGCATGCTGCCACAGTGCCTATAAAATGTGCTGCCGTCGCATTGCCAATTTCACTCTCACTTTGTTAGCTAACACGCCAGCAGCAACCGGCAGCCGGCAACGAGCATCGAATCGCGCATACGCCGCGTATACGTAATATTTAATTACTCGCGTCGCCCGCTAATCATATTGAATCTCAAACCAAATCCGTTTTTAATACAGTGTGAATACATGAATTAAAATTTTTTGTGTTTGTTTTGTTTTGTTTTTCTTTTTTTTTTTTTTTTGTCGTTGAGATACATTTAAAACAAACTCAATAAACAAAGCGTCCGTAAACAATGTCGCTTTTAAAGGTGAATACGAAATGGCTAAAAAAAACTGTAAATATTATAGCAAACCACAACTTTGTTTACTCCATAATTCGCGACACTATTTACGCTGATTAACTTGTGATTTAGTTTATAAATAAATTTATATATATTTATTTATTTATTTATTTAATGTGCTTAAATTTGATTCCAGCCTTTGCGCACGAATGGCTAAATGCTTCATAATTCTATTATTTATTATGCAAAAATCATGGCAAAAAAACGAAAATTATAAATTGAACAATATTTATGTATATATAAAATTATGTGTTTGCACTTAATTAATTTTTAAACTATAGATAATTAATTTTAAATTTAAATAGTCTAGCATTTCAGAGAAAGATAGATTGAAAGATGGAGAGCAAGAGAAAATAAATTAATAGTTGGATAGATAGATATATAGATAGATAGATATATAGAGAGATAGATAAAGAGATAGATACAGATATGTAGCCAGATAAATAGAGATAGGTAGATAGATAGATAGATAGCTAGATTGATGGATAAAAATATAGATAGATAGATATATATATACGTAGATTGATAGATTTACAAAGAGATAGATAGATAGAAGGCTATATAAATGGATAGGTAGATATGTAGATGACTAGCTAGATATATGGATAGATATAGATATATATAGATATAGATATAGAGATAGATAGATAGTTAAATAGAGAGATAAATGTGTATATTCCCATATATATTTAGCTACATATAACCTTAAAGAATTTGGTATTTCAACTAGTATACTCGCTCGTCAAATGAAAAGAGTATATTGGGCTTAAGCAATGTCAACCTAAAGCCTTGAAATTTGAAATTTATACGCGTGTTTATTATTGTCTAAGATTTATATTGTCTAAGATAATTATATCATCTAAATATTAGACAAATCGAGAATTTCGACGATATAATTTGTGAAATTTGGAAGGTTTAATATAGATTCAAAATGTTTAGGCTTTTGTTTCTTACTATGCAGTTGCTGTAGCGACTTGCAATGGAGTATTGGATAATAGGATATAAAACTAGACTTATTTCTTCGGGTAGCTCGGGTAGCTTCTATATTAAAAACTCCCATTAGTGCCATTGGTTTATTCTCTAAATTCTTTCATGTGTGGCAGAATCTTCTGGGAAGTATGTTCGGTTGGGAGCACCGCTTGTAGAAATATGTCTCTCTAGGCTCATAAAATTCTTCAGGCATCACTATTGAACTGCTCCACATCAAGGCCTACATAATATATGGAAAATATTCATGCTTCAGTGCCGTCAGTTATTTACTGAGTCATAGGCAGTTCACGCTAGCAGTCAGCTGCTCAAACTATAAGCAAATGCCAAAGCTGAATATGATAACTTGAATTTTGCTGAAAGCAACAAAAATCTTAGACATAAACATTTGACGGCGGCCAAGCCTTGGCTGCAATTGAAATCAGATGCAGATCGGACGAGAGCTGCTCTGAGAGAGTTGCGAGCTCTAAGCTCTTTCATTTACTCAACAAAAAAGAGAATCTTTAAAGTACTTTCACTCCTTGGGAGGGTCACATGTGGCATGTTTACACTTTTGTCTCTGTGGATTTGTAATTGAATTGCTTTGAGTTGTGCTGGGCTTATCGCATCTTGTATACGATTCGAATTTATGCGCAGTTTTCGTTGCTTGAACATTTGTTTTCAATGCCCAAATGCCGTGTCAATTGACAGAATTGTTTGGGTTAATGAAATTTGCGCATTGTTTTAGCAGAGCTGTGTTGTGTGTGGTGTTCACGTGATTTGCTGTCACAGGCTTCAGTTGGCCATAAAGTGCATCTGGTCGACAGGTCGACAGCAACTTGGCTCTGGGCTGAGCAAAAACAATGTTTGAAAACTAATTACAATTACAGCTGCTAAACAACTTGAACTGCGATCAGGTTCGTTGGCACGTGACACTAGACTCCATGTGTGTGTGTGTGTGGCAAGATAATTAATAGTTTTTAATTATGTTTCACAGTGCAATTATGATTGTAATTTCAACAGCAGCGGCAGCAACTGCAACAACAATTTGCTTAATCGTGTGCGCTGTCGCAATTAAAATAATAATTCAGGTCAATTTAATAAAATTATTAAATGAAATTACAATGCAAAATCAAATAGTCAAACTTGCAACGTGCAACATGGCCTCAAATGCTGTTCGACTCTCGCTCTGTCATGGAAACGTGCATTAAAATCTTATTAAAACTGTCATTTTGAATGCGCTTAATGAAATAATAATAATTTTTAAATCTGTCTCTCTCTCTCTCGCTCTCGCTCATTCTCTCACTCTCTACCTGTCAGCTTGCAGTCTTTGCGCTGTGCTGCTTCCTGCTTGGTCATGCCGCCGAGCTGGAGACGAAGCCAGCGGCTGAATTAGTCCAAGCTGAACCCGTTGCTACCACCAAATTAACGCCCAGCGTCGAGGAGCCAAAGAGCAAAACCGAAAAACGCGATTCCTCGGATCAGACAGGTGAGTAAAGCTGCTAAAAACTCTGAACATTTCTATGCTTAAGGCCTTGAGCTGCAGCTAAGACATGTGATGTGAAGCAGGCATATAAAATAACAAACTATATATATTTCTACTATATATATATTTTTTTATTTAAGCATTTGATAATTTATATTCAAATGGCAAGCCTTATTGATTATAAAAACATCTAATTTTTAACAATAAGTTAAGCAACTGTTTAAATATATTTATCAGAAATAGTATCACTCTAGCTGGGTCACTCTATGTGAGCATAGATAATGAAGCATTGCTTACCTAAAGCTTAGCAGTCATAAAATAAAACAATCTGATGAATTCATTGTTTCACTGTTTCACTAAAAATAACATTATTAATGAAAAAAGTTGAACGTTTCTAAATATTTGTTGGCTTAGCCAAAAGATTTTAGCATTCAGGTTTAGTTCTAAGTCGAGATTAACAGAACTAACTAAACGCAAACCGAACTCTACTTTTTGCTACATCTCAATCTAAGCTCTACTTTTGAATCATTATCTATGAGCAGAATAGTTCTGCTGCTAGTCAAGCTTTGATTTACTCCAAGGTGCGACAACTTGATATTTGAGCCATAATCTTTGCTGAGATAAAATTTCTTCTGAAAGCTGTCTAAATTGCATTTTGTTGTGCTTTGAAGGCGCAGCTAGCGTATGCCATTATAAGCTGTAAATTACAGGGTATATTTAGGTCTTCTTATGATAGTTAAGCCAACTTTTGCTTTAATTAATTTGCTTGGCTCTTGCAGCTTCCGTTTATACAAGCAAAGCAGCCAAGGAGACGGCCTTTCGACCCATTTACCCATCGGCCGCCTACTATGAGGCCGCCGAGAGTGGGCCAATCTTTGAGCCCACGACAGTGCGCTACACGGCAGCCGATGCAGCACCACAGGTATGCAGCAGCAGCAGCAGCAGCTACAGCAGCAACAGCAGCAGCAGCAAATGCATTTAATTAACACAACACTTGCAGAGCTACTACGATAAGCCGGACATACGGTATGTGCCGCCCACAGCCGTGGAGCAGAAGGGTAGCTTGCCAGGTCCATTGCAATTTGCACCACAGCAGCAGCAACAGCAACAGCAGCAGCAGCAGCAAATTCCGCATCGATTTAGATTCGCTGTGCCGCCGCAAGTGGAGCTGTATCAGCGAACAGCGAATGCCAAAGCGCCGCAGAGTCCAAGCTACAGCTATGTGGAGGCAGAGCCAAGCATTTATGAGCGCGCTGGGCCACAACAATATCAATATGCAGCAACCGCTGCACCGCAGCAGCATTTACCACTGTCCGGGCATCGCATACAGTATATTATCGCCATACCGCTTTCCTATATGCGGCAGCTGCAGCAGCAATTGAGCGCCGGCCTGTTGCCAGTGGCGCCTAGCACCGCGGCCAGCAGCACCAGTCCCAGCAGCAGCACCACCACCACCACCAGCACCACCAGCAGCACAACAGCGCCGCCAGCAACAGTTGCCTCCGCTGCCAGCCAGCCCATCATGCAGCTACTCGGGCCATTGGCACGCGACCATCAAGGCATCTACAGACCATATTATCAGTCGGACTTAGTTAGTGCTCCCTCGGCAGTGCCCACCCCAATTGCCGCCTATGGGCAGCATTATTTACAGATACCTGCCAACGTATTGCTGGCTGCTGCACAGCAGCTTCAACAACAGCAGCAGCAGCAGCAGCAGCAGCAGCAACACCAACTGCAAACTATTTATCCGAAGGCAGCTCCAACAACGGCTGCTCTCTATCAGCCCATCATTTATCAGCAGCCGAAGCTGGGACCTCTGCACCAGCCCCCACATCAGGCCCAGCCCCAGCTGCACCTGCAGCGCATCTATCAGCAGACCCCAGCGACCTATGTCGAGCAGCCGGCGGGCCAGCAACACTCTTTATATGGTAGGTAAACTACTATCTAGAAAGGGAAATGATCAAATCTCGAAAACTGTTCATGATGCATTCAGTTCGTTCGTCCGTCCCTCTCGCCCGCCCTCTCTCCGTTTGTCCATCCGTCAAAAGTTATAGACTTAATATTCTCTGAGTAGACGCGTGCATGCCCTTCGCACAACAGGAGTCAATTTTTAAATCTCGAAAACTGTTTCTTGCTGCATTCTGTCTCTCCGTCACGCTGTTCGTCCGTTCGTCCGTCCGTTTGTCCATGCGTCAGTCTGTATCCAAAAGTTAAAGACTTTCTATAAATAGATTCTTGTAAGCCGCACGCTTTGCAGCATTGCATTTCTATCGATAACTCGTCACAAGTTCTTAGTATCGATAATAATCGATTATTTACTTTGACTTAATAAGCTCAGCGAAAGAGTTGAATCTACAGATTATGCTTGCTGCTTATTTAGCTCTAACCAAGCTAACCAGCCTCTGGGAGCTCAGAGTATACACTATAACAGTAACATTTTAGGCATAGCTCGAATACTCTTAGAGCTAGAAAACCTTAATTTGGTTTATAGCTAGATGTGAACTCTAGGCAGACTAAGCATAGCTCACTTTTTGGGTATCTGCTTCATTTGGTTTAAGTTCATGATGATAAAAGGCCTTAAATAGATTCCATATCCAAATTTGAACTGGCAACATTTGCAACTTGTGCCCTGGTCTGCCGTTGGTGTCTGGGGCAATGTGTCGCCGGTTCATGCAGCTAGTCAATGGAACATGAATCGCAGCTAGGGTCAAGCCACGGCATTTGTGTTCACTGTCATGAGACAAAGTCGAAAACTAAACAGCGAATTACAGGCATGTTGCTGCCGAGCGGGAGGGCAGCAACATAGCACAACACAACCGCATCGACATTGCAACTGGCAATTAGAGTGAGCTGAATGCAGCCTGGTAATGCCAGCGCTAATTGAGCCGCGAGTGAATTGCCTTTGGCATCGAGTGCTGACGCTGCCGATGACAACTACAACTTGCAGATGGCTGGTTAACGATTTCAACAATTTTTCAGCATATCCGCTGCACCAGCAACACCAGCAGCAGCAGCAGCAGCAGGCGCGACTATTGCGGCTAGGGCTTAAGCAGGCGGAACAGCAGCATAAGTATGCGTCGGCACCGTCAGCAGCAACGCCATCCGTTTCAGCGCCAGCAGCAACGGCACCAACAACAACAGCAACATTGGCGCTGCCCACACCAGCAGCACTGCACGGCCAACAGCAGCAGCAGCAGCAGCAGCAGCAGCAGCCCATTGTCCACTACAATCCAATTTATGTACAGGCGCCAGCCGAACACCAACATCAGCAGCAGCAGCAGCAACATCAATTTGCAATATTGCCACGTTTTAGCAATAATAACCCAAAGGCGACATACAATCTAGGACATGAATCAACGCCGCCAATTCATGTTGTCAGATTGACAGCAGCGAGCGCATTAGGACACCAGCAGACGCAGCCGTTACACCATTACCAACACTATCAGCCAATGCAGCAGCAGCACTTCTATCAGAGCCATGCTGGGCCCTTGGCCAGCTTTGTCGAGGAGCAGCAGCAGCAGCACCAGCAGCAGCACTCGGCGAGCCCAGCCGTAATACCATATTTTAGCCATCCGGGCGCTGTGCATTATGGCACGCATTTATATCATCCGGCCTCGGCAGCAGCAGTCAGCACAAAGCAACAGCAGCAGCAGCTGCAGCAGCGACTGGCAGCGGCACCAACCGCAACAAGTGGAAGACTGGCAGGTGACACTGGCGCAGGTGCTGCTGCCAACAAGCAGGCAACGGCCGCTGCGAATATTGTGAAATATCCCGAAGCGACATCAAAGGCGGCAGCAGCAGTCCCTCATTTATGATAGTGTGTGTGTGTGTGTGTGTGTGTGTGTGCGTGTGTCCATGTGTGTGTGTGTATTTTTTGTGCAGTATTTGCTGCGGTTTTTTCTTAATGCTGCTCATTGCTAATCATTTGGCATTATCTTTCAGCTGCACAGATTTTATTATTATTTTTTTATTTTGGTTTTATGTTTCGTGTGGCTCTGCTGCGTATAATTAATAAAGTTTAATTGCCTTAAAATATTTTTTTTTGATGCTCTTTAAGTTCTGCCAACTGTCGCTGTGGTTTTCTGTGTAAATATTTTAAGCCTCAAATATACTCGATATGTTTATAAATAATATTTGCAATTTGTCTTTCATTGCTTTATGTTTAAATATCGATATTGTTAATCAAACTATTTTTTTTGCAGAAATTAAAGCTTTAAAGTATTCCATTTAATGTGCGCTGGCAAATAAATTTGTTTCAATTTTTTCATTTTCCACTTATATTCAATTTCGCTCAATTTCACTCATATTTCACCTATCTAAGTGACTCACTCAACTCGAGCGAATTACTCAGATATTTTTGATCCAGAACTTGAGAGCTTCAAAAAAATTAGTCTGGCCTTACTAGCTTTCCGCTCTTCTTCCACTTTTAGCCGTGGAAATTGCATATGTAATATTTAATTTATTGCAAGTTTGCTCACTCGAAAAGCTACGCTTGTATAACTACTCTATAGATTTTGTTGGCTTATGCTCTAGAATTTAACTTTAGTCCAGAGAGATATATATTCTTGATCAAGAATATCCGCATTTTAAATATATTTTCGACAAAGCAGACAAATGTGTACTGAAGCTCTGCTTACCCTAAGGAGACACAACTTTATCCTAGTGAAATTCTCATACTCAAAACTTAATATAAGATACACACTAAATGTGTATATAGAAATATATATGTATATATAAAATGCCTCGGCTTATAGTGTACATGATTTAAAGTATCTTATGGATGCAGAGCAGCGAATGGCAATCGTAGACAGAGCCATTTTAATAACGCTGATAATTTATTGGCAATGACAAATCGTAAATCGCATATCCATTAACCGACTTATGCGGGCTTTGGCTGGGGCGCGTCTCATTGTCGTTTAATTGAAAACATTTCTGCAAATGTGATTAAGCTGAATGCGTAAGCTCTGATTTGGTCATAAGCGGGATGTCAACCGCAGCAGTGGCATCAATTAAAATTTTTGCATTTAATGAACGCCGATTGAGAACTAAAGCAGATGCCATGCAGATGCAGCGTGCTGCTTTTCTTTTTTTTTAATATCCTGTAAATTCATTTAATAATGAGCAACGGGATTATGTAATAAGCGCTTCAAAAGTCCATGGCCGGTCCATTGCGTCGCTTCAGTGTCAGTGTCAGCGGCTCATAAAAGTCACAGACCCGCAAATCCGTTGACAAACACAAGCAAAAAAAAACCAAAATAAAAAAATGAGCACGGATAAAAGGGCTAAAAAGGATAGTTATCTCCGCCTGGCCAACGAAGCAGAAATGGATATTATCTGTATACGTTTTTATTAAAATCAGTTTAAAAAGTTCAATGCAGCTCAAGCCCAATGACAGACAGATCACTGACTGCGCTACACTCTGAGCTGAGCTCACAAATGAAACTTGCCTAATATATATATTAGTATATAGAACTGCAGGTAGCATGTAAGTCTATAGATGTGCAGCTCTGACTGAGGTAACAGAGGTATTCAAGTCGTATATAAAAACTCAAAGTAAGAGTAAGACAGTGAGAGAGAGTCTGACAGAGAGGGAGAGTGTGTGAGAGAGAGACCAAATATATTTCAACTTCTTCATTTTGTGATTGGCCTGGCCATAATATTTTCAATTTCTTACTAAGCTTTGCCCTGATTTTTAAATTCTCTGTTTACTGACAATCAATGCTCTGCTCTACCCAATGAAATCAAATACAGTTTGCTAATAAATTTCATTTTTTTTTTTTTAATAATTTTTTTATTTATTTTTTTCGGCTCTCTAAACTTACTTGCTTATTCGTACTTCTCTTCTTTGCATTCCATACTAAACTAAAAGTGAGCTTCCTTTTATTTTTCCACAGAAAAACTACGCTTTCCTTGTCTTTGGCTAAAGTTTTCTACAGTGCAGCACTACTGTTTTCATGAATATATATATATATATATATATATATATATATATATATATACCTCATTTATATGACATTTTCATAATTATATATTATCAACTGCTAGGGTATTCGCCGCGTTGCTGGCGGCACTGGCATAAGATAAACAACTTCCGCTGGACGCCATTGGATGACACTTGCATAAAATGCGCATTTCCGTTTGCAGCTGAATGTGAAAATGGCGGCGCGAGCTCGCACGCATGCACTGGCCGGAACGCAGCCCGTCGATGGCCATATGGGTGAGCATTCGCCTCAATGGACTCGCATGCCCAGTAGGTGAGCTCAATGTGGGGAGTAATGCGAAATCTGCCCGGATATGTGACAAAAGAACGAAATCAATTTCTGCTTCAAGCACAACGAGTATCGATATTTATCGAGCTTAGCTTAGATCTAGTGGCTGAAGTAGCCTTGGTGCTCTGTGCAAGGTATCTTCTAGTCGATAGCAGTCCTACCTTTAGCAGTGCGTGCCAAATATTTTAAATAATATAAAGTCTTGCTGTGAGATTGTGTCTGTATCTGCGTATGTTTGTGTGTGTGTGAATACTCTCCAATTTTTACAAGGCTTTACAGGCATTTTGCCAGCTTCACACGATGCCCTTTAGCTCTTTGATTTGGCTTCATTCAACAGCGTGAACATAGTATAGGCTCCCTTGATAACCTGCAAAAGAAGCAATAAAATAAAACAAGATTAAGGACTTAGCAAAGAAATTAATATATTATATAAAATATATATTTCGTTATAGCATGTCCGATTTGCTCTGTAATATTGTATAAAATTGTCTATATTCTTGTCTGTTCTTCTGGTTGGCCGTCTGTCTGTCTGTTCGTCCCTAAGTCTGTTCCTTCATCTGTCCATCTGTCTGTCCGTCCGTCCATATGACCATCTGTCCGTCTTTCCATCGGTCTGTCTGTCGGTCTTTCTGTCCGTCCGTCTGTCCGTCTGTCCGTCTTTCGGTATATCCGTCCGTCTGTCTGTCCGTCCGTTGCCCGTCCGTCTGTATGTGCGTCCATCTCTCCGTCCGTCTGTCCGTCCGTCTGTCCGTCTGTCTGTCCGTCCGTTACCCGTCCGTCTGTCCGTCTGTCTGTCCGTCCGTCTGTCCGTCCGTCTGTCCGTCCGTCAGTCTGTTCATCCGTCTGTCCGTCCGTCTGTCCGTCAGTCTGTTCATCATATTCGTCTCTCCACTCTACCTACCGCGAACAGTGTTGTCATGCGCACAGGCAAAATATTACCAGCCACAATACAAATGGGGCGCTGGGAACGCATTAGCATGAACTCCAAGTCGCGACGGAAATAGACGGGCTGATTGATCCAATTGGTGTCATAGATCGCATGGGCCATCTGCTCGCCCTCGTGGGTGACTTGCTCGGAAGCATAGCATATCACCAGCGTTTCGATAATGATGCCCACTAACGTGAAGAACACATGAAATATCCGCAAGAAGCTCATCTCCATGTAGATGACTATAAAAGAGAGCGTGCACAGAGCGGTAGCCGTACAAACGAACTGAATGATGCAGGCCATAGACAGCGAGGTGTTTAAGATGTTCAACAATCTGTGAATGGATGACAAGCGCTAAATATATATGTAATATAATATGCAGCTGGAAATATATTTACTGCAATATGATCTGATGGTCCTTGATGCACTCGATCAGCTGCAGATGCGTCTGCTCCTGCGTCGTACCCATATAGCCCAGTTTAGCAATACGCAGGGCCAGCGCCTTGCAATGAGCTGCGACCATAATTAGATAGACCACCGGATACGTGTCGTTGTTTGCGGCTATTAGTGCTAGCAAAAATATTCCCAAGCTTTGCATTGTAAAGGTTAGGGCGTAAGAGCTTTGGGATTGCTGCCAGTCCCACGGAGTCCAGGACGGAAAAGGCAATTGCCGTTCGGGCCCAAAGACAGCAAAGCAAATGCCACTAGCAAAGACCGCCAAAAACAGCCTCAATACATAAAGACAGATTTTGTTCGACTCATCGATTCTATCACATATAACTTGACGCTCCGATGACGACTGTAGACGTCCGTCCAACTGGCGCAATACGCCATGCATCTCCAGCAAATGGCCACGCACTCGAATCACATTGAGCAGCTTCAACTGCTGCACGAAGGTTATGGCGGCCAAATAGAACGCCTCGCAGAACTCGGTCAGTGAACGACTGAAGAAGCACTCGAAATAGAACGATACGGGCATACACATCGTGGGCAGCACATTGACCACAATGCTGTAAGCCCCATATTGACGTGCCCAGAGCGAGTCTCCTGCAGGCGGATGCAAGCCAATCAAGCGCCAGAAGCACCACTGATACTGAAAGGCACGCGTCGAGTCTATATCGCTCAACATCTCGTCTGCCATTGCACTTTGCTCTGCGAACATTAGCTCCTTTTTATAGCCGATCCGCAACGCTCCTGATTTATGCAAATTGCCAACAATTTGACTGAGACCCTTCTCCGTCCATTGTAATCGTCTGTCATCCATTAATGGCCACAGTTTAAGTGCATCTATTTCAGTTCTCAGAGCCTTTTCTTTGAGCAACAAATTATCGTGGACTTTACTAAATTATGCATACCAAGTAGCACCTATAATACAAATGTTCTGCCCTTTGAAAGTGCCGAACTCAATTGTTAATTCTATTCCATTTAACATTTGTACTCTAGCTACATATATTCATGGTGCTAAGTAAGGTTGCTCTAATCGATAGCTTGAAAGTTTGCACATGGAAGGAACGGATGAACTGAAGCGTCCGCACAACGCCGGGTTATTTCATAAAAGTATATGTGGGTATTTCTATGAAAGAGTTGTGAATGCTCCCTCAGCTTATGAAGATCACTTTATCGAATCATTATACGATCTATATAGTTGCTATCAACTATACCAAAATTAAAGACATTTTCTTAAATATTCTGATATTCTGATATGTACCTAATCGATTGAGTGGTTAGGATCTACAGGATCTGTATAGGTGCAGGTATTTTTTAAGCTCAGCAGTTGGGACGACAAATGGATTTTAGAATAAATATAGTTCTATGATCAGATGTCGTAGCTGTTAAAGGATCTCAAGGATAAACATAAAAAGGGAACTAGTTCAGCTTAAGAATATAAAATCTATAGAAAGCCATAGATGATAGGACTTTAATGGCTTCCGAGTTGGATATGGCAGATGAGAAACATTTAGAAGATTGTTGGCTACCGAGCTCAGGCAACAGTCAAGATTCGACTAAAAAAAGAACAAACTAATTACTAAAATATGCATAAATAAAAATAAATATACTAAATGCATGTAGAATAACTTTTTCTTTAATTAAGAACGCCAAACCAGTTTGTTGACCAAATTCGAAACGTTTTATTTGGCGATTGTGTGAAAGCAATTGTATTAGGAATTGTGAATTGTGAATTGTGGGCGTGGTCTGCATTTGGAGTTGCTCGGATAGAGAGCTGGCTGGGGGCGGTGGCGTTGCTTTGGGCTGCTTGCACAGGTGTCAGGCGAGGCGTGTATTCAAATTAATAATGCCAAATTGATTACATAACATTTGTCACTGGAAATCTGGTTTTCGGACGAGTCTAGCATGGGCTTAGCCCATCCGTCAGATACACCGCAGAGCGTCATGATTGAATATGATTGATTTAGGCGGCATAAATTATGAATAGGCCAGGGGTCGACTCGGGTTGCCTCGGGTCGCCGCAGTGCCGCAGTGCCGCAGGTATTCTTGCCACTCGCCTCCAGTTTGATTTTGTTTGCCGCCCGGGCCAACGCGACCTTGGGCATTTGACAAATGAGCTGCGTAAGCCGTAAGATTTGCACAAGACGCACAATTAAACGACTGCCAGGCGGCAAATTGACATTGGCTGTGCAAAAGGACACAAGTGCCCAAGGCCAGCAGCTGTTGGCCACCTTTTGTCGTGTCGCGTCTCAATTCTCCAAAATGAATAATGTCAATTGCAGGTCAATTATTGGAAATCGAAATATACTTGTGAAACTTAGCAAATGGCAATTTGACAATTTCAAGGCGATTGCCAATTGGCCCAAACGTGATTCACATTCAAAGCGTCTGCATTTCAAGCAGTTGTCGCACTGCCAATTAGCCACGGGGCACGCTTATCGGATTGAGCAAAAATTATTCTACAAATTATAGAAACCCTTGAACTTGCCTTGAACTACTATAACATAGACTATAACATATTTATTAAGAGTTAAGTATTCTTAACTGCATCTGTCTAGTCTTATTTATACATAATATAATATGGACTTATCGATAATTTTATATTGCTTATCGAAACTACATTCACATTATATTGACTCACAATAATTACAAAATATAGCATATTGAATAAAAGGTTTGGTGTTACTAGCTTCTATTTTTTGTTATCGATAACATCGATTAACGATTAAGCAGAATCACAATTGCAGCTCAAACTCTTCATATAAATATTTATTACTTTTGTGAAATTAGAACTAAGACGTCCCATGCCACAGCTTGCAGTAAATTTTATCTATAGCAATTATCGATTAATTTATCATATATCGAAATGTTATCGATAGCAAATACCGGCTAACATAATATATGTAATTATAAATTGCATCGATTTATCTTGGCTTAAGTGACTTACTTATCAAAATGAATAAAGTTTCAACAAAAATTTGATGAATAACAACGATAAATTCTAAAGTTGATTGATAGACAACATATCGATAACTGTGAGTTGTGCCAGATAATAACATAGTTCAGTTAAGCGGCTTACTATAATACAGCTACAAAGTGAAGTTCTCTTTCGGTCTGTTAAAAATCATTAAAAATTATTTAAGCGCGTTTTTTCCACAAATTAATTTTATTTAGAACTTTTTTCGGGCTTTATTTGCTTTTGTGCGCTGACATTTCAGCCAGAAAAAGTTTAAAAATAAAAGCGACAAACCTAACAAGTTCCATCCACATTTGCTGTATTTATTTAGGCATTATTTTCATTCTTTTTTTATTTATTTTTTATGAATAGATATTTGTATAAATAATAAAAAAAATTCAGAAAGCAAACTTTGTCTTTTGGGCCGACGGAAATTAAATATAATGAAAATGAACAAATCTATTTACAAGCAAGCCTACATATTTTCTGTTTCCTACAGACTTCCGCTCGAACTTAAATTAAAAACAAAGCTGAATGGAAAAAGAAGAGAGTGCGCGACTAGGGAATACCCTACAGACCGTGTCGTGCACTTGGCTATGCAAAGAGGGTCAAGAAAAGTGGATTACTTGTGTCTATATAACTAAAGATTGTTATCGATTTATGTGATATCGATTATTTAATAAGACTTAACTTCGAGCTTACCTATAAATATAATTAGAGTCCGATCTCATTGCTCCTGATCTTGAATATATCTATTAAGGTATTCGTCACGCCTCCCCCCGCCTGTTAGATGCATTTCACTCTGAATTTTCATTTTCAATATCCACACGTGTTCTCTAAACCTCTCGCCATCAATGAAAATATATATTTAAATGTAATTAGCTAGTTATACATCTAAGTATATATATATATACATATATGATATGTTAAAGAGATACGAATCGCATCTGTATATCGGCATTTACAAGCCCCGTGTTTGGATACGTGGAAAGGAAAAACAAACGCCTTCGTTCAGCTACAAATTGCTAGCATGTAGGCATTAGCATATGTTGATAATTTAGTATACACCTGACCATGTTTGGCAGCTGTGTAATTAATAATGCGCACCCAAATATATATACTATATACATATATATATTTATGTAGCTAAGCAATCAAAGGAATGTCTTAACTATATCAAATTAAATTACGAATCGCCAATAAATTAATTAAACGAGACGAACTTTTGGCAATTTGTTTAAGAAAAGCCAAAAAAAAAGCAGAGCTATGAGAGACTCTTGTATACCCTGTAGCAGTTATAGCTTTTAAGCCAATGATGCAGTAACATAGATTTTCTAATACAAAACAATCTTACTTCAGGGAACTTCAATTAACTGTGAGAAATTAATATATACTTTATATAGTAGTTCGAAATATAAATATATAAGCACAAGTCTAAAACGCAGCTAGTTCAGGTAATACATAGCTGGAGAGAATGCAAAACACTTCAAGTAGAAACATAGAGACCCAAGTATGACTTCATTATAGCTATAGAAAAATATATATGAAAAAAGTACAAAATATAGTTTCCCTAACAAAAACTTATGATTGCTTAAAATCAATTATACTCTCTTCTCTTTCTTGTAGTGTCTTCCTCTTTCGTTATATACCTCTCTCTCTCTTTCGCATTCCCTTTCTCATTCTAATTCTTATTCTCATTCTCATTCTCATTCTCTTTCTCTCTCTCCCACACTTTCTATTTCTTATTCTGCTTGTTCCACTTTCGCTCTTTTCTCATTCTCTGTCTCTTTCTTCCTCTTTCGTGCTCTGCCTGTTTCACTCTTACTTGCTCTAACTACATCTCTCTGTCTCTCTCTCTCTTAGTAGCTTGCTGTTTTGCTCTCTCTCTCTCCTACTCTCCTTTTCTATCCATCCCTCTCTTCCTTCCTGTCTATTTCTCTCTCTCAGTCTCTCTCTCTATCTTCATCTTGATCTGTCTCTCCCGCTCTCTTCTTCTTTCATCCTCTCTCGCTCCCTCTAATCATATGTTCTCCTTGAGTTGTCTTAAAGAGCAGCAACTACAGGGTATCTAATAGCACACCACATTTTGTTTAATTGTTTCTTTGAGCAACTCATTAAGACAATGTTTGTCTTGTCATTTGTAATGCATAATTTTATAATTTCTTAAGCTTAAACAAAGTTAAATATATATGAGAAATATATATTCTGTACATAAGAGCACATAGGTTGATATAACAATTAGTCTTATTAGGTGCTAGATGGCACAAAGCCAGTTTTGAGCTTATAATACAAAGAATATGAAATAAAGACGCCCACGCATATGATGAGAGCCTCCTAACCAGTCCAAAGTTGTCAAGTACGCGCTTATAAATAACCCAATGGCTAAGCTGGGCGCTTCACCTGGTTTAATGAATGAACAAGCAAATGTGAGTGAATGGCTGACTGACAGACGGACGGACTGACAGACTGAATGTATATTCGCAAAGAAGCAGCAAATGTGATTTTCAGCTCAGAGCAATGCTGTTGCCATCGCAGTCGGGCGTAACTGACTGCAAAACACACGCCAAGAATAGCTCAGCTTAACTAAGAATCCCAAAATATGCCTAATTTGCCACATTCTCAGTGGGCAAATTCCATAAATCGTAAGACTTTATCAGACGAAGGCGAAAGTACGACAAACCCAATATGCCCGCTTCGCCACATGATCAGGCATTCAAGCCAAACAGAACGACAATAAAAAGCAGTTCCGACTGTGGCAAACAGAGGCCCAAGTTTGTCAAGTCAACTGAGTCGTGGATTGAGTCGATGACTGACGTCTGGATGACGCCAACATTGTCTCAATTCTCAGCTGTTCTCGGCGA